ACAGTTAGGGATATCCTCAAACGCACAGCTGAGACAATTTATTCTCATATGGAGTAAATCCAAAATTCTTAGCCTGTTTTTGACAGCATGAAAGAACTCCTGAGTGGGAAAGCCCCTCTCAGGGATGACCTCTACACCCCAGTTCACTCCTGTATTTACATCCTGCATCCTCATGTTTCACTCCTGACCTACTGGAACATTCCTAGTGGTATTCCTCTGTGGAAGAAATTTACTTGCATAATGAGAGAGAATGTTGCCTGTCACTTTCTCAAATGGGGAATCAATTAGTGTTTTAATTACAGGTACTGAAAACTACTCCCTGGTGATTACTACAACTGAGGTAGATTATCTCCAGGTAGCACCTCAAGTTATGTCTGTTCCACCAGGACCACACACCCTTTTTCCAAAAGCTGAAGAAACTTTGATAAGACACAAAGACCTGGGTTAAAACCACCCAAGGCAGCTGGGAAAACTGTTTCCATGCTCCAGCTGGAGAATTCAAAGCAGTTTGGGGATGTGCCTAGTTGCAAGGCAGGCTATTCCTGAAGCAGTGGTGGAACTCAAGCCCCACATCATGTCTTGAACCCTCAGGCAATGAGAGGCCACTAACACCACAGGAAACAGAACTGCCCTGCTTCTCCCACCTGATGGATGTTGGATTCCTGCACTTTAATCTCCTGTGGGCTGGATCGGGATGGATTCAGAAAGTAGCCATGGTTCTCCACCACGCCAGGGGTCTTCAACAAGCAGGAGATATTTAAAACAGCACCAAGCAAAGTCTTCTGGTACATCTGTCCATTGCTGGGATCCTTGGGCTGGATGTAGCCTGCAAAAACCTGGGAAACACATCAGGACATGCTGACAGTTGTCCAAGATCCCAGTAAGAAACCGCAACAAACGGATGGGTTTGTGACAGGCTATGAGAAAGGAGGGGAGGGGTATGAGTACACACATCAAGTGTTGTTACACCACACTCCTGGTTTGGCCTCTGCAGGTCAGGTCTTGTAAATGTTCCCCTGCAAAAAGCTCCTGCCCAAGCCAAGGTACCCACCTTTGCTATGTCCTTCTGCTTTGTGAAGTAGAGGAGCACATCAAGGTATGTGTACAGCAGGATCTGGCAGAGGTCCAGGTCCTTGATTCTCCCCAGCAGAATGTCAAACACGGGAACCATGACCTCCCCAAACGTCCGCACCTCCTCCTCCATCGTTAAGGCTTCTATGACCTCCTCAAGGAACTTGGTCATGTCTTCAAACTCTGGCAAGAGATACAAGGCTGTTATTCACAGTGCTCCAACAGCAAAACTGACCCAAACACACCCCGCTCTTTTGGCAGCGAGGGGAGCCAAAGCTTCACCCAACTCCATGATGCTCCAGGGCAGCTTTGCAGCGCTGAGGCAGCGGCACAACCTGGCCGCACTTACGTGCCCCTCTTAGTGTCTCCAGCATCAGGTCCAGCAGCTGCTCATACACGTTCTGGTTGACGTAGATCTCTGGGGTGAGAAGGACCGTACGCGTGTTGGACACTGTCAGGTTGCGGCAGCGCACTGCGAAGGGCAGAAGATTCTCCGGGACCTTGGTTATCTGAGCAAGGAGAACAAGGCAGTGTTGGGGCCCCGGTCAATGCAACTTTAGCTCAGTCACTCCAGAGCTGGGTGACAGAGCTGCCTTCCTCCTCGGCAGCCTGTGCCCACCTCTTCCCGTGCCCTGCGGAAGCAGGCATAGAGGTAGCGCAGGATCTGCCTCTCCCCGGCGTCACGGTCAGCCGAGAGGTTCTGGGTGCTGGCAGAGGTCATGTGGATCAAATGGCTCCCGGGCTCCGGCAGCAGCAGGCGGGTGAACAGGGCCTGGGCACCAGCAGAGATGGGCTAGAGTGACACAGCCCCAGCACAGAGCTGATCCTCCAGAGGAGGAAGCTTCTCACCACACAGGCTAATTGATTCCTGCTAGGAAGAGCTCTCACTTTCCCTCATCAAGTAACGGAGTGCTGGAGTGAGAACCCTCAGCTACTTCAGGCCTAAGCAAATCCTCCAGTCCCCAATGGAATAACAGTACCCCCAAGAGAAACCATTTCCACTGAAATCCTCAGCAGAAATGACCGATACAGCTGCAAATTTAGATGAGTGTGTGCGTGGACACTGTTGACTGAGTTCTCTGGTTTTTCTTCCCTTTCCCACCCACACAGACCTGCAAGGCAGCAAACTCTTGCAGCCTCCAGGAGGAAGAGCTGGATTCCCCAAATTCTACACTTTTTGGGATCATATCCCAAAAATCTCATGGACGTTTCCAGCAAAACAAAAAGTGGCAGCTTCATGCCACGTTTTGGAAAAAGATTTGGGATACATCTTATGTACATTCTGAGGAAACAAACTCAACCTGTGGCCAAAGTCTGCAGATGGCCCCAGGCAGGCATCCCTACCTGCTCCACATTGTCCATGTCTAGCCAGTCCTGGTCATCCAGGTCTGCGGCCATTTCCTCCAGGAATACACAGCGTGCCGGGATCCCATTCCCACTCTTCATGCTGGGGTCACCTGGGAAGGGCAGAGGGACCTGTTCCACCCACACGGACAGGGAACCTGCAGGCAGGACCTGCCCCTAACACAGCCCCAGCTGCTGCACCTGGCACCGTCCCCTCCCATGTCAGAGAAACCCGACATGCAGAGCTGCCCCAGCCTGTACCGCACCCCCCAGGAAACCAGGGGATTTCCGGGCTCACTGTTGTCCAAGGTGATGAGGAAAATCCTCTGGATCATGTGGTTGATGTTGAGCTGCTCGCAGAGCTCTCGCTGCGAGCGGAATGAACGGCTGATTTCGGCCACCGAATAGTCGCAGTCATCCAGGCTCTCGGAGACACTGTTGTCGGAGTCATCCTGGCTGATGGACGTCTCCTCGCCTGCATGACAGGGCCCTCAGCGTCGCGGGGGCGAGCCCCTGCCCAAGCGGACCGCCTCGCCCCCTCCCCAGGGGCCGACCCCTACCCCAGGGCCGGCCTCGACCTCCCACCTGTCAGCTGCCGCAGCTGCTGCTGCTTCTGGATGGCGGCGAAGTGCTTGGCGGCAGCGACGGAGCCGAAGAGGGCGGCGAAAGGGTTGCTGGAGATGCTGTTGTTGTTCTCCTGGTCGGTCATCTCCCCTCAGGGCCGCGCCATACGGGTGAGCCAGGGCAAGGCTGCGGGAAGGGCCGCCGTCAGGGCCCGAGCCCGTTCCCCCGGGCGCGGCGGACTTGTCCCGCTCGGTGCGGGGCCTTCAGTCCCAACCCGCTCCTGCTCCCGCTCCCGCTCCCGCTCCCGCTCCCGCTCCCGCTCCCGCTCCCGCTCCCGCTCCCGCTCCCGCTCCCGCTCCCGCTCCCGCTCCCGCTCCCGCTCCCGCTCCCGCTCCCGCTCCCGCTCCCGCTCCCGCTCCCGCTCCCGCTCCCGCTCCCGCTCCCGCTCCCGCTCCCGCTCCCGCTCCCGCTCCCGCTCCCGCTCCCGCTCCCGCTCCCGCTCCCGCTCCCGCTCCCGCTCCCGCTCCCGCTCCCGCTCCCGCTCCCGCTCCCGCTCCCGCTCCCGCTCCCGCTCCGCTCCCGCCGCTCCCACCTCGGCCGCCACCGGAGTGCTCTGCGCGTCACCGCGTCGCACAACAATTGACGTCACCGCGGCGCGCCGGAAGTGAAGCAAAGAGGCGGAACTCATGGAGCGCGGGTGGGAGCGGTGGCAGCGCCGTCTGGCGACCGGGAGGGGGAACGACACCTGCGGCCCCCCGCTCCCCGGGACCGGGACCGGGACCGGGATCGGGACCGGGACACGAATCCAGCCCGGCTGGGTGGGACCCGAGCGTGTCCCGTGCTGTGAAACGCGACCGTCTGTGCAATAACCAAGTTTGTGTTTATTATTCGCCACAGTGGCCTGCATTTGAATATTAACGATATGTAAATCAGTTGCTTAATAGGCAAATCATGATTTTATATCAAATCAACGCGCATATTGACCCTTATTAACTTCACACCTACAAACACTTTTTGCAGGTTTTTTTTTTTTTTTGCTTGTTTTTTTTAAGCTTTTCTTGTGCAGGGAGTTTGTAGGGGATTTGGGCCGGAGCCGCAGGGGCTGTGGTGAAGGGACACTGATGTTTATGTTTATATTACACTCCCCATCCATCCATTCTATGCTGGGCTGACCTTGGTCCCAGGGCCTCCCCAGCTGCTCCATCCCACCCTTCCCACCTTTCTTGGCAGGACAGATATCAGGTGAGGTCAGGGAATACCCTGCCCAAGACTCTATGGGGAGGTACAAAGGTGGGCTGACAGAGGAGAACCAAAGGTGGACAAAGGGGGTTAAATCCAAAGGGTTATTCTGCAACCCATGAAACACGCCCTGAGGCAAAGCTGGCTGGGGACTACAGGGAGAGTCCCCAGCCCTGCCAGACCCTGCATACACAGATTTTGTTTATTTTATTTTCAATCCAGGCCCCCGGCTCAGGCCCAGGCACTGCTCTGCCGGGTGCTGCAGGTGACTCTAGTGATGTCATTCCTGTAACAATATTAATTTAATTCTACTACACCATGTCCAACCTCTCGCAGCACCATGCTGGAGGAGTCCTTGGGCACCATGTCAGGCAGGGAGGGGGGGCAGTCTGGGGTGTTGGGGGGACATGGGGCTATGTCAGGGTCTGTGAGGTGGTGCAGGACCAAGCCCAAGGCACTGGGGGGCTCTGGGCTCTGCCTCTTCTTTGACCAGACCCCACCAAGGGTTCCTCCAGAACAAACATGGCTATGCTTGGCTGGTTTTGTCATGAACAGCCTTTACTTGCCCACTAGTTACGCCTTGTATTCCTTGTTACAAAAGAACAGCTTAACAAAAATAATGCCCTTTGGCTGCAGCCGGGGGAACACGTGGGGCGAGGGCACAAGGGCTCAGCCCACAAAAGGCTCAGCCCACAAAGGGCTATGGCACTGTTGGCGTGGGGCACCCACGGGCACCAGCCGGGCCGGGGCACGGCCAGGCAGCCCATGGTCCCCCGAGCAGCTCAGGCAGGGAATTCTCGCTCTGGTGGCTCATCCCGGATGCCCTCAGCCACGCTGCTGGGGACACTCATCCCCACCAGCGCGTCCTCGCTGGGTCCCGGCAGCGCGCAGGGCTGCAGGAGGTGGTCCCAGTAGAGGCTGAGTGTGGAGTGTTCCTGCTGCTCCAGCTCCTTCAGCTCGTGCAGCTCCTTGGCGCTGGCTGCTGGTGTCTGCACCTCAAAGGTCATCTCAAAGCGGCTGTAGTCCACCTGGAAGGCGCCTTTCTCCAGGGACATGCAGGGCTCGAAGCGGTATCCCCAGAGGATCTCGTCCTCTGTGTAGGAGGTGCGGGCTTGGCACGTCATTCCTGCAGCAAGACAACGGCTGAGCTGTGCTGGGTGCCACAAGGAGCCCCCTGCTGCCTAACAAGGGGCTTCCAGCCCTGCATCACCCATGACCCACTGGAGACAGTTTTGACCCCGAGCATCTCTTGCCACTCCACATCATGCCACTCCTGGGCCCAGCTTTGCCCAGCATCTCCAAGACCCCAGGGGAGCCACCCCTCTCCACCCTGATCCCCCCGCCCCGGACCACTTACCTGTGGCTTCCACGATGCCCTCGAGGATGATGATGATTTCAAACTGCTCCCGGCGCAGTGACTCGGCTGACATGTCCCAGAAAGGGCTGTGATGGTTGATGACGTGGCAGATGATCTGGGGCTCCACCAGGAATAGACGGTCCTCCCCTGTGTCATAGCCCAGGTTCAGTTCTGACTGCTCCAGGGGGATGAACTCCCCCTCGGCCGTCTGACGGGACTTGATCAGCTTTGCCCGGATCTTGGCATCCACCATGTGGCTTTCCCGCAGGTCCCCCACACGAAACATCAGGCAGAGCTTCTCGTCCCGGCGGGAGATGACGCAGTTCTTGCTGAAGATGAGGGTCTGGGCACGCTTCTTGGGCCGGGAGATCTTAACGAACATGCAGCCAACCATCATGGCGTCGATCATGGAACCGACGATGGACTGTGCTATCAACAGGATGACGCCCTCGGCACAGTTGGCTGTCACCATCCGAGTGCCATAGCCAATGGTCCGCTGGCTTTCCACTGAGAGGAGCAAGGCAGAGACAAAGCCATCCACGTTCTCGATGCACGCCTCCCACTCGGGATCACCCTGGTGCCCAATGTCACCCCGCAGCCAGGCGTCCAAGAAGTAGATGAAGCCAAAGACCACCCAGGTGATGATGTAGCACATCATGAAGACAAAGAGGAACCACCGGTACTTGAGGTCTACAATGGTGGTGAAGATATCTGAGAGGAACCTCTTCTTGTCCTGGATGTTGCCCAGGTTCACCTGGCACTTGCCCACTTTTGTCACATAGCGCTGCCGCTGCCGCTTGCCGGCCTGGACCATGGGGCTGTCCTCCTCCAGCAGCTTGCAGCGCCGGCTCTGCAGCCCCTCTGGGGTGGGAATGGTGGAGCTGCGGGCGGAGGTCTTGCCGCGTGACGAGTTGGGGATGTTGGCCACGCTCAGTGCGTGCAGTGGGTACAAGCGGGCACCTGCCTCTTGCGGGGCAGGCGGTGGGCACCAGGACGGCCGGCCACGGTGGTGCTGGGTGGTCAGGCTCCCGCGGCTCGGCGGCAGGGATGGCTCACCGGGGACAAAGCCGCTGTGCCGGGGTGCAGATGGGTAGTTTGGCATCGGAGTGCCTCTCTTGGCACTGGTGGCGGCGGCCGGCTTCTCGCCGTCCTCCACCAGAGCCCCGGGGGCGGCCGGGAGGTCGGGCTGCGGGTGGGGGAAAGGAGCCCGTCGGTGAGAGATCGCCTCCGACAACAACCGCGAGCACCCGGTGGCACCGTGTGCCGAGGATGCCCCAGAGCCCGGGTGCGAGCCATACCTTCTGGGGGAAGGTGCCGTAGCGGCTGGTGTCGGTGGGCGGCCGGGGCAGGTAGGCCAGCATGTGCTTGGCCGTGGGGGTCTGTGCCGGGGGGATGGAGTTGCTGCGGCCGCGGGGCTCCTCGGGGGGCAGCCAGCCGCCGGCGCCGCCGCTGTTGCGGGCGCAGGGGAGCACCATGGCGGCGCCGGGGCGGGCGCTCAGCCCCGTGCTGGGCGCTCGGTCCTGCCGTGGGGGAGACAAAGCGGGGAGTTATTTCGGACACGGAAAGCAGCTTGGGGCTCCGGCCCCTCTCCGCAGCCCCAGGGGCCGGGGTCTGGAGGGGGGCCCCCCTTGCCCAGCAAAGCATGTCCCAGCTCCCGAGCTGTGCCGGGGTGCTTGCGGGCTGGCTCCAGATGGCTAAGCCCATTAGGGACCATAATTGCATTGCAATGCCGGGGAAGGAGGCATTCGTCTCCGGTGGGAAGCAGCCCCGGCGGCCGGCAAGCTCCGGGTGAGCGCCTAAGACACTGTTCCACAGTTGTTCCAGGCCGTGGCGGTAGCTGCCGGCTCTCTAAGACGCTCCGAGCAGAAATGGATGGCCCCTAGGTGCGGAGGAAGGACAGCCTGTGAGAGAGATGCAGACCCCAGAGCCGTGCTCCTCGGGACAGGCTGAATCCAGCCGGTGCCCGTGGGGAGACGTGATGGGAGCTCATGGTCCTGGAAACGCAACCCGGAGCGCAGCGACCTACGGGGATAGGGGTGGGGATGGGGTGGGAGTATTGGCGCTCTGCCTCCGCCGAGCATTCTCTGCCACTGCAGAGCAGCGGGACCAGCGGTCCTCAGTGCGACGATGGAGGATGTCACTATCCGGACCAGCCTCCCGGCTCCCCGGACCCCTGGGCACAGGAGACACCCACCTCATGTCCAGGCAGAGCGGCTGCCAGCCCGGCCGGCGTCGTTCTCGGCTTGTGGCTCCCGCTGCGCCCCGGCCACTGCCGGGCATCTTCCCACCGGTTGCGGATGGGAATCCTCTGCCGGGCTGTGCCACCGTGGCCGGTGGGAGGGAAAGAAGGACTGGGAGCTCGGCGTCGGCCGCCAATCCTGCTCCAGCGGCAGAAGGTCACCCGTTAATCTGTCTCAATGACAGGCACAATTACCTTGAGACGATTTAATCGGAAGGAGCAGGTGCCCCAATGCCTGGGGGAAGGAGCAGGAGGGGTTTCCCAGTGGATTTCCCTGCTCTTGCCCTCGGGATGATGCTCTCTGTCTGCTCTTAGGAACGGGATGGTCAGCAAGGGCTGGAAAACATCCCCTTTCTCCTGCCTGGTCTGTGCTTCCACCTTGAACGCGGTCCGTGCTCCCTCACCCCCTCCTTGCGGGAGCCCCCTGCAAAGATCCTCCTGACACTCACCAGAGCTGGACCCCGGGACCAGCAGGACTCAGTAATTTCCAGTCTGGCTCCCGATACAGATAAGAAAGACGGCGGATGAAGGAGAGATTAGTCGTTAATCTCCCAGGGAAGATGAATCTGCAAGCTGGACCTTGTGGAGGGAACACACGTGGGGGAGGATGGGAGCCGAGTGCCAGCACAAACTTAGGATTTTCCTGACGCTTATTTTCATCGTTTTCATAGAATCCCAGGATAGCTGGGGTTGGAAAGGGCCTTAAAGATCAGTCCAGCTCCAACCCCCTGCCACAGGAGCACCTTCCACCGGACCAAGCTGATGTACATGGGTTTTCCCTAGCTTTGTGTTTGCATCAGGGTGTCTCCTATCAGGACAATAGTTTCCTCACACACAGCTTCCTCACAGAAGCGCCATGAGTCGCCTCTGCTGGTGAAGTGCTGGGTGCAGGACAGGGTGATCAATGCCCACCTGCGAGAAGCAGGGCTCATCTGCTTCCTCCCTCGGACATCCCCATTCTCAACGCAGCTCTCAAAGGCTCTTTTGCATATTTAATTAATGACCGAATTAGGATCAAGGCCTCCAAGCGAGGCACCGACTCCTGAGAAAAGCCTGACGCCGGCTCTCTGTTGCCTGCATCTTGTGCTGGGGTGCCAGCCGTGTCCCACCGAGACTGGAGCTGCTGCTGCCGCCGTGAATTTCTTTCCCTGCCAAGGCTCTCGCTGCGGGGTGACCGAGGCTCGGAGGGTTCGCGTGCTTTGGTTTAACCCTCCCGGGCACGGTGAGACACCGGCGGGACACAGCCCGGAGTTACCGCCGGGATGCACCCGGCTTTTCCTGCTGAGCCGGGCTCTCCTTTTAGCGTGGAAAAACCAACACCAGCTGAAAAACGACCGTGGCCACACCCCGGCGTTGGAGGAGCAGGCTTGAATTCGCCCCCCCGGGCGGCAGACGCGGCCGGCGGCCGGGCGGACGCTGCTCCACAAGCGCTAATGCCCGCGGCCGCCGCTCGGGGCGGCTAATCCGGGCCCGGAGGTTAGCGGGGCGGCGGCAGCATGGCCGGGGGCTGGTGGGCTAAGGCGCAGGGCGGGGGGATGCTGCTGGCTCTCCTCGGATGGATCAGCTCCTGCGTCACCACCTTCGTGCCACTCTGGAAGAACCTCAATCTGGACCTGAACGAGCTGGAGGTCTGGAACATGGGGCTCTGGCAGGTCTGCATCACTCAGGAGGAGGGGGTGGTTGAATGCCAAGCCCACGGCTCCTTCCTGGCGCTGCCCCCCGAGCTGCGCATCTCTCGCCTCCTGATGTGCCTCTCCAACGGGCTGGGGCTGCTGGGCTGTCTCCTCGCTGCCCTGGGGCTGGAGGGCTGGAGAACCTGTGAGGACAAACCTGGGCGAAAGCGGCGGCTCCTGCTTGGCGGGGGAGTGACGCTTGGCATAGCAGGGATCGCCACCCTGGTGCCAGTCTCCTGGGTCGCCTACAACACCGTCCTCGACTTCTGGGACGAGACTGTCCCCGACGTAGTCCCCAGGTGGGAATTTGGGGAGGCCACCTTCCTGGGGTGGTTTGCCGGAGCCTTCCTCGCCGCTGGCGGGCTGCTCCTCGCCTGCAGCGCCCGCTCCACGAGGACCAGATCGCCGCTGGCCTCCGCCTGCCGCCGGGTCCCCGCTGCGCCAGGTCCGGCTGGGAGCCAGCACCTGCACCCCAAAAATGCAGACTTGGTCATCTAGAGCCTCAGGGTGCTGTGCCCTATGCACCTGGTGGCTCTTCCCCTGGCAGGGAGGGCTCCTGCTTGTTTCACAGGATGATTTGCTAATTGCTACGTAGCTCTGCAGGTTTCTCTCCTTCCTCTCCGTGTCTGCTTCACTTTTCTCTGTTAAGGAGCAGCAGATTTCCCCGCAGCACTCACCAAGCAAGCGTGGGAAGGCAACAAGCAGCGGGCAGCACTTTGTCCTGCTGGTGACACTGTGTTGGCATCCCTGGCGAGTGCCCTGTAGCCAAGTCTTTCCTTGCACGTCTGTGTCGCTCTGATGTATTTGCAATAAATTATCATGTCCATTGGCAGTGTGTCTGTGCTCTGAACATGCAGCTGTATCTTGCAGAAGTGGGATGCAGGGTGGGAGTTGCAAGGGGCAGCACTGGTGCTGCAGCTATGGTTTGGTCTCTCCAGAAAAGATTGGAGGAAAAGAGAGGGAAAATGGAAAACAAGGGGGGAGAAAATGTGAGATAAGGCAGCACCAAGTTCTGCTCTTGCTGCGAAGGTGGGATGGCAGTGACCGCGTGCCCTGCAGGACCTTCATCTTCTCATGGCTAAGATGATAAAGCCGATAAGTGCCACAGACCTCTGTGTCAAAAGTTCCTCGACTGCATCATTTACCTGTGCACAAGAGGCAAGAAAGGGTTTTTGCAGGTCTCAACTGTTCCTTCCACATTTTCCTGATTCAGCTGTAAAAATAAAGGCTGATTACACACCTCTGTGAGCAAGAGCATGGACCATCAGGCTGGATTAGCACCCGGAGTCCTGACAGGGGCCTGCCCGCTGCCACAGCACTGGTTGAAAACGGAGTTCACCGCTGGTTTAATCCCTGCAGGCTCAAAGCTGTGGGCGCGTGACCCATCTCAAGGAAGGCCCGGCCGACAGCGGCATTCCTGGGGGAAGCAAAGTCCGCTCCCTCTAAGTCCCATTTTGAAACCTGCACTTTGCTCAGTTGGAGGAGAGGAAGGAGCAGGTGGGCAAGGAAAGGGAACAGTGATGATCCCTGGGAGTTCTGATGCTGCAGGACTGGGGACAGAGTTGGTAGTGCTGAGAGTGGAGTAGGAGAGGCAGGTTGCTCAGTCCTTCTGACAAAGAATCAAACAAGGCAGAACCAGGGGGAGGGCAGTGTTCCTGGCCATCACCTTCCAAGGAGCTGCACCCCCTGCCAGCTGCCCTTGGGAGCAGAGAGGCTGTTTTGGCTGTAACTCCCTTGGGAAATGGGAGGACAGGACAGTGAGCAAGGGCTTCCAGCCTGGGAACAATGCTCCTGTCCAGCCCAGTACAAATACCATGACATCCCTGGCACCACTCTGTACTCCTGACAAAGCAGCACGCTGGCACTGCAGCACCTGGTCCCTGAGGAGGCATGGGTCGCTGCTGGGACACTGGCAGCCAGCGTGCCTGTGGATAATGGCAGCTCCACTTCATCATAAAGTCATTGGGAGAGTGCAAGATTCTCCCACAGGAGTGGTTTATTCTTAAGTACCGGGGAAACACCCCCTGACAGGATGGTGGGACCAGCCTAAGGCAGCTCTGCTAAGGACAACACATTTTGTACAGGAGGAACCTTCAGGCAGAACCCTAGAGTGAAATAAAGACATGGAAGGAGCTTTTTCATTCTAACATAGAACAAATGCTTTTATTGCACTGTTAGAAAACTCTGCATAGTTCCAAAAAACAGGATCCCCCTCCACTGACTCAGAACTTCTGGCTTACAACCGCTGCAGCTCAAATGCACAGGGCGACTGCAGAAGGAAATGCCAACAGGGCACTTTTTTAACAAAGTCAACACAAACACCCACCACCAACACAACGAGCTGATCTGAGCCCTCAGTGTTGTCACTGACACTAATCCAGCCCTGACCCACCACCCAAAGGGAGAAGGAAGTTTGCCTTTCGGCCATGAGGAGAATATCCTTTGGGGTGATGTGATTGCCCTG